GTATTTTTAGGGGATTTTATGGTACTAAATTATATTTACGCTGTATTATTTTTGAGCATAGACCTGAAAATTAAATGTCCAGCTCAAACTGGAGATCCTGAACGCTTTAGAGCGACAGACTGAAGTTTGGTCTCTTCTCAAACACGACACTCGGCAGATTATTGCTGAAGTGGAAAAAGTTTTAAAAAGTTAAAAAACATTTTTTTTACATTTATTGTTATGAAAAATGCACAAAAATACTATTTTCAATTTTTATATGAAATATACACTACCGTTCAAAAGTTTGGGGTCAGTGAGAATTTTATTTTTATTTTTTGGAGGAAAGAAATCAATACTTTTATTTATCAAGGACAGTAAAGACATTTATAATGTTACAAAAGATTCTATTTCAAACAAATGCTGTTCTTTTGAACTTCCTATTCATCAAAGAATAAAAAAAAAATAAAAAAAACTGTACAACTGACAGACCAAAAACTGTTTCAACACTGATAATAATCATAAATGTTTCTTGATCATCAGATCCTCATATTAGAGTGATTTGTGAAGGATCATTTGACACTGAAGACACTGACACTGGTGATGCTGAAACTCAGCTTTGATCACAGGAATAAATTACACTTTACTATATATTCACATAGAAAACAGCTGATTTACACTGGAATAATATTTAATACTATAACTGATTTTTGTTGTATTTTTAATCAAATAAGCGCAGCCATGGTTAGCAGAAGAGAATTCTTTTAAAAGTATTTAAAATCGTACCGACCCCAAACTTTTGAACGGTAGTGTATATTTTCCAAAAACACGTTTTACTCTAAAACTGTGAGAAAATCAAAGCCATAAATCTAAACAAGCTGAGTCTAATCTCTCAGTAAATGAGCGTTCAGTGTGTGTGTGTGTGTGTGTGTGTGTGTGTGTGTGTGTGTGTGTGTGTGTTCGGCTGCAGTTCCACACGCTTCCACTAGAGGAAACGAATGGGTTACCTAACGTAACCTCGGTTCTCTCTAGATGAGGGAACGAGTATTGCGTAAGCTAGCTTACGCTGCGGGAAAGATTAATCTTTTCTGAGAAATTGAAGCCAAAAATTATCCTATAATTTTGTATCCATTGTCAACGCAGTTCAGCTGCAGCAGAGCATGAGCAGGCTAGCTAGCAGCTCATTGGCTCGCTCACAGGGAACTGCTTAAGCCTATGAGGAGACACGAATGAACTCTCGGCCAATGAGAGTCTGACCTGCTCTCATTGCGTCAGAGCCCGCCGAAACGGGCGTGGCCAGAGAGTATAAATTCGCCTCTCAGGCTGCAAACTCTGGTTTTCATAGAATGAAGCGAGAACGCTAGTAGCACAAGCACGGCCAGGAACGCAATACTCGTTCCCTCATCTAGAGAGAACCGAGGTTACGTTAGGTAACCGATTCGTTCTCTTACGAGAGGTTCTCTCGTATTGGCTAAGCTAGCTTACGCTGCGGGAACACCTGGTCAACGCCGTGCGTGCTAAGCATCCACTATGAGTCCCAGGGGGGACCCCGGGGTAGAGGTCTTCTCGGGTCCTAAAAACTGTACCCGACCCGAATCGACCCGAATCACTACTTACCCGAACCCGACGTGCATAAATTTTTTTTTTTAAAGAAAAACCCGACCCGAGACAGACCCGATAAAATTAGACCCGAGTCCGACCCGACCTGACGGCATTTCCTTTAGAACCCGACTGGACCCGAACGTAAACGGCATTTACATTGTGCACAGCCTGCAGCTCTGCGTTTCTCAAAAATGCACTTAACATAGACGCGCAAGTGTAAGCGTGCTGAAGTGCTAAAATGTCAATCACACATCACTGTAACCCATTACGTCCTATAAAATTTGGCATAATGTTATTTACCGGTCCATACGAGGATTAGAACCACCATTCGTTTTCCCTGACATTTTTCGCAATTTCTGTTATCGCCTCCATGGTTTTCTGACAGTGTCGCGTATTTTTAAAATTGATTGACAGGCCTGGCTAAACGACAATTCAAATACTTGCATTTAGTCAAACATCCATCCACATGATGGCGCACTAGTTCTTCTTGGCAAAGGGAGGGGTTGGTTTATGTGGAGCGAGCAACTGAGTAAATAAATGCGGAGGCAACCGTGCTAATGCTTATAGCCCATTTGCACGTAGAAGCGCGGATTCGCTCTCTCACTTAGAAAAAGTGAGAGAACGGTGTCATAGAGTTGTTTTAAATACTGCAATTTTCTTAAATGCCCAACATAGTTTAAAATAATTCGGGTCTTCTCGGGTCCATTTGGAAAAGGCATATTTATTTTAAATTACCCGAGACCCGAGGCCACTAATACCGAACCCGACCCGTGTCCGAGACACTCGTCGGAGTTTTGGACCCGAACCCGTTCGGGTCTCGGGTCGGACCTCGGGTTTTCGGATCCAAGTGGACCCGTGAAGACCTCTACCCCGGGGAACCCTTATGAGTGAAAATAAAATATGTACATGTGACAAAGGCCAGCGGAGCGGGCCGGGGATTGTGAAGTACATAAGCACATGATAAGGAGGGACAGAACGAGACCGGTCTGCGTGAATAACTCCCTATAGTGCAGCTCAACCAGAAGAGCTGTAACATACTAGACTGCTAGTAGTTTAGCCTGCAAGGCGGGAACTTCCAGATTGTAAAATCTGATAAAGGTGGAGCCCATCCCGCTGCCACACAAATATCATGAATGGAAATTCCGCTGGACCAAGCCCACGATGAGGCCATGCCTCTAGTGGAATGGGCCCTGATGCCCAGAGGGCATGGCAGGTCTTTTGACGCGTATGCGGCTGCAATGGCATCAACTATCCATCTGGACAGAGTCTGTTTCGAGGCGGCCAACCCTTTGGTGCGCCCACCGAACGAAACAAAAAGCTGCTCAGCTCGTCTGACCGGAGCAGTGCGAGTAAAGTATAATCTCAGGGCCCTGACCGGACACAGGAGATTAGAGTCAGATTCGCTATCGGATGCAGGCAGAGCCGATAGGGAAATAACTTGTGCCCTGAACGGGGTACCAATCGCTTTTGGGACATAACCATGTCTAGGTTTGAGAACGACTAAGGAGTCATTGGGCCCAAACTCCAGACAGGAAGCGCTGCTGGACAGCGCGTGAAGGTCCCCCACACGCTTCACTGACACGAGCGCGAGCAGAAAGATGGTTTTGAGCGAAAGGTATTTGAGATCCACGGTGTTTAACGGTTCGAATGGGGGGCTTTCATAGCTTCGAGAACTATGGAAAGGTCCCAAATCGGCACCGACGGGGGGCGTGAGGGGTTCATCCTTCTAGCTCCCCTGAGGAAGCGGATGACTAAGCCATCTTTGCCCAGTGACTGGCTGCGCCGGGGTTCAACGAACGCTGCGACGGCTGCCACATACACCTTGAGAGTGGACGGGGACCTGCCCTTGTCCAACATCTCTTGGAGAAAAACTAGCAAGGAAGGAACCTCGCATGACCGTGGGTCCACGTTTCTGTCGGTGCACCACTTAGAGAACACAGACCATTTAGACGCATAGAGCCTTCTAGTAGAAGCCGCTCTAGCCTGCATGATCGTGTTTAACACTCCTTCTGGCAAAGCAACGGGTAGTCGTTGATCACCCACACATGAAGCGCCCAGCGCTCTGGGTGGGGATGCCAGATCGTGCCGCGAGCTTGGGAGAGGAGATCTGTTCTGACTGGAATGGGCCACGGGGCTGTCGGTGACAGCTGAGTGAGCTCCGGAAACCAAGTCTGACCTTCCCAACGCGGGGCTATAAGGAGCACCGAGTGGCGTGTTTCCCTGATTCTCTGAAGCACCTGCGGTAGCAGAGAAACCGGAGGGAATGCATAAAGCGGGCGGCTGGGCCAGGTCTGGGCTAGCGCGTCCTCGCGTTTTGAGAAAAATATTGGGCAGTGGGTGTTTTCTTCTGAGGCGAAGAGGTCCACCTCTGCTCTGCCGAATATTCGCCACAGCTTTTGGACTGTAAGAGTGTGCAGGGACCATTCGCCAGGGGGAATGGGGTTCCTGGACAGACTGTCTGGACCGTCGTTCAGATGGCCCGGCACGTGCGTCGCTCTGAGCGAGAGCAGGTGACACTGGGACCAAACTAGAATGCGTTCTGTCAGCCGGAAGAGATTTCTGGATCTGACTCCGCCCTGACGGTTTAGATAGGAGACCACAGCCATATTGTCCGAACGGATCAGCACATGGTGACCGTGAATGCGCGGCAGAAAGCGCGTGAGCGCGTTCTCGACCGCCAGCATCTCCAAACAGTTTATGTGGAGGAGACTCTCCTGAGCTGACCAGGGGCCGAAGGCCGGTGAGCCCTCGCAGACCGCACCCCAACCCATGTTGGATGCGTCTGTCGAAATGACTTTTCGGCGAGAAAAGGTCCCCATGGAAACGCCCCGCTGAAACCATTCTGTCATGGTCCATGGCTGCAGAGCTGTGATACAGGTCTGCGTTACCTTTATCAGCTGGCGGCCCGTGGTCCACGCGCGGTGAGACACACGGCTCTTCAACCAGAACTGAAGCGGGCGCATGCGCAGTAACCCCAGCTGGAGCACTGCGGAGGCTGAGGCCATGTAACCCAGCGCCTTCTGAAAAGTTTTCAGAGGTGTGAGTCTGTTCATCTGAAAAGATGCGGCGAGACGCTGCACACGGCGCGCGCGCTGTGTAGACAGACGAGCCGTCATTGAGACCGAGTCTAGCTCTATACCCAAGAAGGAGATAGTCTGACTGGGTTGAAGTGCGCTCTTTGTCCAGTTGACAGAGAGGCCCAAACTTTTCAGATGGTCGAGGAGAACTGTACGATGAGACAGTAGCTCCCTCTGTGATTGTGCCAAAATCAGCCAGTCGTCCAAATAGTTCAGTATTCGCAGCCCCTGACTCCGCAGGGGGGCGAGCGCCGCATCCATGCACTTCGTAAACGTGCGGGGTGCTAGGGATAGGCCGAACGGGAGGACGGTGTATTGATAAACCTGGCCTTCGAAGGCGAAACGTAAGAATGGCCTGTGAAGGGGATTTATCTGAATCTGAAAGTAAGCATCTTTCAGATCTAGTGAAATGAACCAGTCCCCCTGGCGCACATGCGCGAGGAGTTTTCTGACAGTGAGCATTTTGAACGGTCTCTTCATGAGAACTTTGTTCAGAAATCTGAGGTCTAAGATTGGTCTGAGGCCGCCGTCTTTCTTTGGAACCAGAAAATAACGGCCGTAAAACCCCGACTCGCTCATAGATAGAGGGACTCTCTCTATAGCCCTTTTGCACAATAGTTTTGCTATCTCTGAACGGAGCAGAGTCACTGCTTCTGGGTTCACAATAGTTTCTAGCCGCGCTCGGAAACGTGGAGGGCGGCGGTGAAACTGTAAGCGATAGCCTAGCCTTATTGTGTTTAGCACCCACTGGGAAATTCCCGGAATAGCTTCCCACGCTTTGAAGCGTAACGCTAAGGGGTGAATGGCTACATGGTCCCCGTTGCTGCACACAGCGGGCCGCGCGGGCGCGCTCATCGTGTTTATGACAGCGGGACTTACACTCAGAGATGAGTTTAAGGGCCGTGTAACAGAGTGAGCAGAGGTGGGACGCGCACACGGGCTCGTGGGCGCGCTTATGTACTCTGAAACTCGAGCGGGTTGGAACCGCTTTATGAGAGTGGGCTCTGTGACACACACGGGAACTGAAATGCTTTTGTGTATGAGTGAACACAGTGTTGTGGGCACATTTTCTACACGTGAGGCTTTTATGCTCTTTTTGAGATTTCTCTGGGTCGCCATGATAACGGCGTTTGTGCTCATGCAAGCTGGAAAGGGAACCGGCTTGGTAATGGCGGGGTACACTGCTGTAGTAGCCGCGTGAGCGGGGACTAACAGAGGGCGAAACTTTGACGGCGGTCCGGCCTCGGCGGGAGAGCGCCGTCTTTTTCTCAGCTGTGCTAGGCAGACTTTGAGTGATCAGGTTTCAGCGTGATCCTGGACCGAGGCCCGCGGGGAGGCGGCGGTCTGTGGCGGCTGTCAGAGCGAGAACGAGGGCGGCCGCCCTGGCGTCGCTGAGAAGTCTGACTGTGCTGAGCTGGGCGCTGGGGTGGGGCTCGTGCAGGTCACGAGCTGGTCACGTGAGCGGCCTGCAGAGGAGCTAGCGCGACGAGGCAGAAAAAGATTCATGGCCTGGGAGGCTTTCTGCACGGAGAAACGGTCAACGATACCCGTGACAGCAGATCCGAAGAGGCCGGACGGAGAGAGCGGGGCGTTGAGAAAAGCGGCGCGCTCGGAATCTCCCATGTCGGCGAGCGTGAGCCACAAATGTCTTTCAGACACGCAAATGGCGGCCATACATTTCCCCAGGGCTTGAGCAGCAGACTTTGTAGCGCGAAGGGCAATGTCCGTGGCGCTCCTCAAATCCGCGACTGAGGGGGGATTTTTTCCGCTCTCGTCCCACTCACGCAGTAAATCACCCTGTAGAATCTGGAGGACGGTCATGGAGTGAAGTGCAGAGGCTGCGTGGCCGTCGGCTGAGTAAGCGAGCGCGTGGAAGCTCGAAGTCGCTCTGCAGGCTTTAGAAGGAAGCACAGGTGATGAGCGCCATCTCGTGGAGGGCGGGCACAGATGTGCGGCGACCAGGTCCTCTACAGGGGGAATGGAAAGATAGCCCTTTTCTGCGGCTCCGTCCACAACGCGAAGCGGGGCGGAAGAGTCGGAGCGAGTTCTGGCAGAGAGCGGGGCATTCCAGGACTTTGTGAGTTCCGCGTGCAGTTCGGGCAAGAAGGGCGCGGCCCGTTTAGTGACGGGAGTCGAGCGCTGGCGGAAATAGCTGCCGTCCATACGGTTGATGGTCTGCTCGGGGCGAGGAGACCAATCGAGCCCGAGGCGTTCGACGGCCTGTGAGAGGAGGCGCACTAATTCCTCCTCAATTCCAGCGCGGGTCCTAGAGGATTCTCGGGCCGAGGAGGCGTGAGAACCGGACCAATCCTCACTGTCTGAAGCGAGAAGCGAACATGTCTCCTTGATGTCCGCGGCGTCGTCGGAGGCGACAGAGCGGCCACTCGGCGGCAACTGTATGTCCGGAAGCGGCGGAGAAGGAGAGCGGGAGGCGACAGGCTCCGGCGGGATGAACGCTTCTGGCTGGGGTTCCGGCGGCCTCTGCGAGCGGCGTTTCTTCTTACGCGGCGAAGTCGAAGGCGGCGCGGAAGCAGCTTTAGTGGCCTGAAGTCGAGCCCGCAGGGTCGACAACGGCATCTCCTCGCAGAGATCGCAGCCGCCATCGGCGAGGGCGAGCTCGGCGTGCTCCAATCCGAGGCAGAGAGCGCAGATGACGTGGCGGTCTCCAGTCTCGAGGGGAGCGCGGCAAGAACCGCAGGAGGAAAAACGAGACATCTTTACAAAGACGCTCGGCTCTTTTAGATACACACACACAAAACAAGAAGCTTTTGGTAAAGGATATGAATCCGTCGGATGGCGCTAGCTTGCAGGACGGCTGAAGGTGGCGAAGACGGCCGGCTTCCTC